ATATTAAATGATGAAAGACATGCAAGGAACTCGAATAAAACATGCATTGAATTGTACCAAAAAATTGTATTGAAAGAATGTTTGTGCTATTTATAGTTAACAAATTTGTTTGGATGAAAATAAGTGTAAGAACTATGCGAGTTATTTATACTTTTCAGTCTAATAATAAACATTACTCATAGTCATGAACATTAATAAAATTAATTCCATGTAGATTTATATATAACAATTGTTTCATGTGGTATTAATAATGAGTCCTTATCTAGAAAGAGAATAATGACATTCTTGTCATTTAACACTATCAATGACTTAATTATCTAAGAAATAATTAGGTAGATTAAGAACACCACATCATTTGTGGTCTTTCTAATTAAAATGCTCTAAGTAATCTAAGTAAAATCCTATGTGACATTTTTTAAATTGATTTTATTTTAATAACATCATGCACATTTGATTTCTTGCTTTTTCTCTCTCTATTATTATTAATATTAGAATCAATTTATATTTAATGCCATCTAAATATCATATTTTTATTAAACAGACCACAAAGGATGTAGTATACCTAGTCTACCTAAGTATTTCTCTAATTAGCTAGCAAGCATCATCTAGAGTGGGGATTGATTCTAAAATTACATACGTATGAACCTGCATACACACATACACATGTATGAATGTATGCATGTGAGACTCAAGCCTTTAGAGTTTGGGATGAGTGCATTTCCTAATTTTAAGCTTTTCATATTTTTTTAGACACAAGGAATATATTATGCCAACACCAGCGGCTAGTTTCTCTCAAGTTATTGAGAACAAATGAATAATGATAGACATCTCCCAACTAGCGGTTGTTATATGTAAAGGAGTCGAGCTTTCAATCCCCAACTACTTGCTATTAAGTGACGAGAGCGGCCATTCACATTAATTTGAGTTGGTTTAAGCTATTCATTTGTATTGATATATATATATATATATATATAGTAATAAATTCTTATAAAATAGGTGACAAATGTCAGACACAAATTTTATGCTGACAAACTACAAACCAGATCTAAATTAATTTTTCCTAAAGTACCTAGAAAATGAAGAGGCAGAAAAACACTTTAAAAAATTAACTAATTCATATTCCAAAATAAGAATATCCATTGTTGTCAAATTCTTGGTATTGACTTTTCAAGTTTATCATTTTTATATTTCTAACTTATAAAATCAGGTCAAAATACTCATAATCTTGAACTAGAAGTAAACTTGATTAACTCATGAGTTGAAACTTTGAGTTTATTTTATTTTTTATGTTTTTAACTTACAAAATCCTATCAACTTGCTAATCAATTCAAATTGGATGTAAACTCAGTTAAATTCATGATTGACTAGTTAAATTTGTAAACTCATTGATTTTTTTTTTATTGAGTTAAGTATATTTTGTAGAACTTAGTTCATAGAAGTGGTAAAATTTGGTTCAAAGAAAAAAAAAACTCAATAATCAAAAAAGAAAAGTGTTCAATTGGAACATGAAAATGTGACTAAATTGGTCTTAGTTACTCTTCAGGATGGAGTGGAAAAAGGGGGCAAATTCTTGAACGAGGAAAAGGATCCAAAGAATATTTCAATAATATATATTATATATAAAATGAATTTCAATAGTTAATTAATTTCAATATTGATTATTTATTGAAATCTTATATTTTAATAAAATAATATTTTATTAAAACTAATTTTAATTAAAAAAATGCCAAAGATAAGTTGTCCTATTTTAAATTTCTATGTTGAGTATGATAACATATCAATGGAGATGGATTTAATTTTAATGATTTAGATTTGAAATTTATTTTTTGGTAAAAAAATTTGACATATATTTAAATGAAATTGTAGTCATATTTTATATTTTAATTATTTAATCATTTAATTTTAATGATTATTTATTAATAGAGATAAACTCTTACGAATTTATAATCCAAGTTTAATCTTCATCATGAGTTTACTTATACTTATAAGTTTTACAACATTGAGAATATCAGTATAAAAGATATTTCATTCTTAATGAAAAATCATCATTACTTTGAATAAAACTTGTATTCAATGCATTACTTAATAATTTGCTTCTCTCTTAATCCAATCTTCATCGGCAAAACTGTCCATGCATGTAACCTTAATTTTTTTAATGTTTTTAAACTATTAAAATTAAGCAAATCAATGAGGAACCAGTGTTTTGTTCGATAAAAAAAAAAAAGAGCAACTCACTTGAATTTTGATATTAAAAGAATGATGATTGTACACCAAAACTGGTAGCAAAGGAAAATTTTGGTGATGTAATACCAACTTATAATTAACTATTACAATAACCGATATATTAACGTTTGAAAAAAGTGGCCTTGTTGAGTATAATAAGATCTTTTACACTGATATTCTTATTTCTAAAATCAAGTCTGCAAAAATGTTCACGTAAGTCTGGTCTCCGACCATCTTTTAAGTCATATTATAATATGACTTTAAAAAAATTTCACTTTTTTTTTTGCAAAAACAAATTTACACGTGTTTATTATAGACTTTAAAGTAAACCCACTAATTAACGTTGCAAGAGAACCTGAAAAGAAAGACGTGGGGATCAGTTTTGCAAAATTAAATACAATCATTTTTTTAAAAAATAAAATCTGGGTTCAATGCTAATTGTAGAGAGCATATTGTTTCTCTGTCTCTCTCTCTCTCTCTCTCTCTCTCTCTCTCTCTCTCTATGAGGAGTTTGATCAACCGTAATTTGATCCAATGGAAAGAATTTGATAACTTTTAAATAAGGTCAGTTATTCAACTCAAGCACTTGAATCTAAATTAGTTTGTATGTACTATGTTCTGACTACTAAATAATTTTTATCACAAGAAAGCTTATGATGTGATAATTGATCAAGATTTTATTATTTAGGAAAACATAATCTTTAGTCTTTATAGTTTATTAATTTTTATTTTTTCTCCCTGTATTTTTTTCTGATATTTTCAGTTCTTATATTTTTTTAGCAAAATTCAATGAAACTATTGGGACCAAATATTAATAGAATTCAATTTAAAATGAAAATATTTTTTAAATTATTTTGCAGAATAAAATAATTGTTTACTGAAAAAAATTAAGAATATAAGATACAAAACATGGACAATTCAAATTAAATATCAACTACTCAAATTTTGGGTTAAAAAAATGAATACGGTATATTAGCACTAAAATCCAAGGATTTCAAATAAAACAACAGAGATAGAATTGATTCATAATTCGTAGAATCTAGAGAAGAACAAGAAATTCATATTCTATTTCATATATTATGAAAAGATTTGTTTCTCCAAAAATATAAAGTACGTTACTTTTGCAAAATGCAATTGAAGATTTAAATTAAAGTTGTTCGTTCTTTTTAAAATTATCTAATCTAAATTTTACATATAAAAACGTGTAGCCTTTATGTTCATCCCTATCAATCCCAATTTTTCTTTATGTTTTTGTTTGTTTTTATTTACAATGTTCATTCTAAGCACCCCTTCGTTGATGGAGATTCCTTAGCCCACCGCACTAAAGAGAGATAAACAATAATCAAAATCCTATTCCATAAAGATATATAATGCATATTGAGTTCCATATAATATATCTGTTTTCAATTAAAATTAAAGAAATGGTATATATATTTATATAACTACAAACAGTGGTAAAGCCACGTTCATTTGAGGGAGGCAAATGCACCCCTTCATATCCAAAAAAAAAAAAAATACATAGATAGCATGGAAAATTTATAACCTTGTATCTCATATTTTTAGCATTTTAAACTCTCCAGATTCAATAAAAATATTTGAGTCTAAATTTATTCTATAACAACCTTCTCTATATTTTTAGCCAACAAAATATGAATATATTTTGTCCAAATAAAAATATGTATAATTTTACTTATGCTATTATATTTTTTGCCTAATGTAATTACTTTTAAAATTTTAAAATATCATTTTTTAATTATTAGTTTTTGAATTTTATTTTTTTGTACCCCTAACTTAAGGTCCTAACTTTGCCACTAATTATGAAAACTATTAATTGTTAAGAGTTAACTGTAAATAACTGAATGTTAACAACTTTACTCAGTTAAAAATGTGTATTGAATATTTTATATTTGTTACTGAAACAATACTATCAATTTATATTACTTGCTACTTTTCTACCACTCCTATGATCATGATATAGAAATATAGGTCAACTTGCTTGAATTAGTAAATTGTTAAATTAGTGAGTTGACCATTTTAATAAATGCTTTGTTGATGATTGTTTCAACTATAATTTTAATCATTAATTCTTAAACTAATGCCTTCACTGGTTTAATGACCTTGCCCATCATGATTGAATTATTACATATTAAATGAAATCATATAAATTTCATCTCACAGTATAAAGAAAAAAAATGGAGAATAATTAAGAAACAAGGAAGTAATATGTGAGTGGATCTGAGTCAATATGAAAAGTTTTACATCAAATAAAATTAAATTAATAATTAATATATAATAAAATTGAAGAACCCCATAAACTTAAATTCCAAGATTTAGAGTTTGAAATGTGGTGTCTTTCCATTGCTCATTTTGTGCTCTCTTAATTATAGTTTCCCGGGTGGTTGCTTCCTAACAATATGCGGACAGATATATTTTATTGTTAATTGTTGAAGGCATTAAAAATAGTTTTGTGAGTGGAATATAACTCCTGTGCTCCTAATATTAAAAATAACAAATACTATTGAACAATGATAATAAAATATCATAATCATAAATTTATAATAGGGATCATGTATAAAATAAACGTCACGTCAAGCTTTTTGTATATTTCGACACACAAAACAGTGTTTAAAAGAATCATAAATTCATAATAATGCAACTCGGAGAGACAGATAGACACGGCTTATGATGAATTGAGACATGCATGTTGATAAAGGTGACGTAGCAAATAGTTCTACCAGGTTTGGTATATAAATAGTGATTGCCTTCCAAAGCTTTTGTTAACACACACTAGCTTGTTTAAGTGTGCGTTCTCTTCCATCAATACTTTCTCTCTCTACTCTCTCTCTTGTATAAGAAATGGTGAGTGAGACTAAGCTTCTAGGATGTTGTGGAAGGTTTCTTGAGAGTTCAAAACATCACTTTGCTACGATTGCATTGCAATTTGGATACGCAGGCATGAATGTTATCACTAAGGTTTCATTAAACCGAGGTATGAGCCACTATGTCCTTGTGGTTTATCGTCACGCCTTTGCAACTGCAGTTATCGCCCCGTTTGCGTTCATCTATGAAAGGTTTGTTCGTGTTAGATTCTTTATATTAAATATGTTTAAAGATAATCTACTTTATCAAAATAACTTAAGTCATTTAGTTAGACACACTTTTAGTTTTATATATTCTTAATTTATCTTTTAATTTCTAGATGTGAGGCCTCTTTAACTTATTTATTTCTAACAACTTTTACTGTTAGGTAAAAACTATATGAGTAGTAAAGCTCATTTTCTTTGTACATATGACTATATAGTACTAATTTTGAGTAAATTTTCATTGTTCAATTGCTCATATATACTTGTATTGTGGTTCAATGTCGCAGGAAAGCTCAGCCAAAGATAACATTCCCAATATTCATGCAAATTTTCATCCTTGCTCTTCTTGGGTTTGTTTCTTTTACTTGTAGTAAGAATTATAGTAACAATAATTAATGATTAAATTTAACCATTTTGTTTGCATATATTAAGTATATATATTATTATTTTGTTCTTGAAACAGACCTGTGATTGATCAAAACTTCTACTATGCTGGGCTGAAATTCACATCCCCAACTTTCTCTTGTGCAATGAGCAACATACTTCCTGCCATGACTTTTGTGATGGCAGTTTTATGCCGGTAACAACTAAATTGAATTTTATTTTATTTTATTTTTAGTAATTTTTGATTAACTCTCTACACTGATTATCTTATTAATAAGTGTATATATAAAGATTTTTAGCTCATGCATCAACATATCTTATTTACAAAAATTTTAACCAGTGCTGAAATTATTAGGTGCTAAAAATAATTTCTATAATAGCATCATCTCTCTATCTCTCCTCTTCTTGTATGGTTCAGTTGCCACAGAGGATGTTTGATTACCATATTAGACATCAAGAGTGGTGAGAACTCTCATCTAATAAGTGGATCCCACCTCTTCCGTTGTCTCTCCTTTCACTTTAGGACGATCTTGGCTAATAATATTCTCATTGTATAAGTTTTTACTCTAGGAAATCAATTCTTGTTATTAGATATTAAGTTGGTCACAGTGGTATGCTAAACAAAAATAAAGAGAGTGGCCAGTGATCACTCACTTGGTAAGTGGGGCCCTCCACCTTCTCTTTCCCTTTATTTACTGTGTGGTCCTGCATATTAACTAACAATTATCTTCTTCTGCACATGAGCTTTTTTTGCTTTGCTTTTGCTTTTGATGAAGAAACTAATTTTTGGAACATTGAAATTATGTTGGAAATTAATTAGGATGGAAAAGATTAACATGAAGAAGATGAGGTGTCAAGCAAAGGTGGTGGGGACCATAGTGACAGTGGCTGGGGCCATGTTGATGACACTGTACAAAGGCCCCATTGTGGAGTTGCTGTGGACCAAACATTATGCTCACCGCTACTCTCACATCACAACCAATAATCTTCAAACCACACACACTTCAACTTCTTCCTCAGACAAACAATGGTTCATTGGCTCCATTTTCCTTATCATTGCCACCTTTGCCTGGGCTTGCCTTTTGTTTTACAAGTAAGAACACCACAATAAACCCTTCAGTTATTTCTACTAGTTATTGATTCTCATGTGTACTTAATAATTATATTAGTGAGTGTATATAAATAGCATTGAAGGACAATTTCATCTTTAAACTATAGGTCCAATAGCATCTAAAATCTTAAACTCATTTTTTTTATAATGTTCCTCTTCAACTTTTTAAAACGGTGCAGTGTCTCTTTTATTATTAACAAAGTTAACTTTAATCATTAATTGACAAAAAAAAATCTTAGAATTATAAAAAAGGACTAAAAAATTACAAACAAGGACACAAAAATACAGAAAAGGACTTATAAAAATTCTTTTCTTGATATTTTTCATAATTTTTTGGGTATTTGTTGGTAATTTTTGGATAAACTAATAGTCAAGATTTACATTTGTTAATGGTAGCAGCAATATTGTACCACTTTGAAATGTTAAAAGCAAACATTACACAAAATATGAGTTTAAGGATTTGGACGCTTTTGAAGTTCTAGCTTAAGAGAAAATTTACAATTTTACCCTGTGAGTGTGTGTGTGTGTGTGATGTTTATTATATGACATTTATGTGGAATTGATAAGATCAATGAATGGTATTGAACAGGCAAAAGCATTGGAGACATACAAGAATCATAATCTCAGTCTGACATCACTAATGTGCTTCATAGGGACACTTCAGGCAATTGCTGTTACATTTGTGATGGAACACAATCCTTCTGTGTGGAAGATTGGCTTTGACATGAACTTGCTTGCTGCTGCCTATGCTGTAAGATGATGATGATGATGATGATAAGAAACATACTTTTCTTTTGACCCATAATATTTTTATTTCCCTAATTATTAATATTAATCAATTAATTAATTGATATTTGTGAAATAATGTTTTAGGGGATTGTGACATCAAGCTTAACATACTATGTACAAGGACTGGTGATCAACAAGAAAGGCCCTGTCTTTGCAACTGCCTTTAGCCCTTTGATGATGATTATTGTGGCCATCATGGGCTCCTTCATCCTTGCTGAAAAAATTTATCTTGGAGGGTATTTATCTATCTATTTGGCTACATATATTCTAAATTTTTCAGAAATTATATACAGTTGTTCATTCTATTTTTAAAAATTACTCAAGCTTTCATCAAAAATAAAAATTAAATTTCATAGACCTTTGAGAGTTTCAAAAACTACATAGATATCCCATCTCTATTGTCATGAGAAGTTTAATTTGTGAATTTATAATCTTAAAAGAACATAAAAATTTATGTAATTTGAATACGGAATTTTATATTATTTACAATTTATTTTAAAAGAGCTTTACATAAATTTTGATGATAAAGAAAATGTATCTAATATTCTTATAATTTTTTTAAAAAATAGCCTATTAGGTGGGAATGTACTTTAAACTTTTAAAGGAAAAAATATAAATTCAAAGAGAAAAGTCTTTCAAAACACTGTATTTAATGGGAGAAACCCTTCAATTTATAAAGGGAAAATGACATAAAAGCCCCAAAATAAGGAATTCATGACAAGTAGGTCCCCCACTAGCATTTTCTGAAAAGTCAACTATAAATACTGATTTAGCTGGACAGTTTTAAATTTAAGAATTCCAATTGTAAATAAAAACTTAATTTCTAAATATAATTCATAGTCTACAATTGCAGTTCATATTTGTAGCTATTTGAATCAATATTTGTGATTCATATTTCAAAAAAAAAATTTGTGGGGACTTAACTGTCATTAATTCTCTATTTTGGGATCATTCTTCCATTTAGATACTCACTTTGCTCGTAGAAACTCCCCGACATGGGATTCATAACCAAAAAAAAAAAAACCTGTTTTGTGTTTGTGGGTTTTATATTTTTTGGAAATTGATATATTGTGATAATTTCATCTTCTTTTTTCGCTTTCTATTATTGTTTGGACCTATTAATATTAATCGAGAATAATTCACTTTTGTGTGGGTGCAGTGTTATTGGGAGCATCTTAATAGTTATTGGATTGTACTCTGTCTTATGGGGAAAGCATAAAGAAAGAGTGGAAAGTAAAGTGAATGAAGTAGATCAAGATATAGCCTTACCAATGAAGGCCTCTCCAGTTGATGCGAATAATAATAATAATAATAATAATAAGTATGCAGATGACAAACAATTAACAATCAACGAAGCAAAATCAGAGAAAGGAGATAAATCCATCAGTAAGATTGATTCAGTTCACATTAGCATGCCTCACTCCAACCAAGAGCCAAAAGCTTAATTATATACGCGACTGGAATAATATCAATGGAGATTTTTGTTTCATTTTGGGATTTCCTTGGATCCTTTTCATAATTGAAGGGGTCTTGTTTGGTGTATTATTACATATGTAGCTGCATAATTTTGAAGCAAACTTTCAAGTGATTGTATTATCAGTTTAATTAATTAAAAATGCAGAGACATGTTTCTCTTTTTTTTTTTCTTTTTCCTTTTATCTTCTTCATCTGGCTTCTGCTTGATTAATCAGTGATTTTCTTTTTTGAGAAGAATTAATGATTTTCTTTAGTTTATATATTTTGTTTGTGGAAGAATATCCATATATAGCTGACATCTGATTCAGATTCCGCCAAGGGTGATAAGGGTATGGCATTTTATGACACATACAAGTCATGCATAATAGGTAAAATACAATGAATTTTCATTATTTTTCATAAAATTATTAAAACCTCTCATTTAATTTATCCCTTTTCGTGATACAAGATAAATAAATAATTTTTTTGAACAAAATTGAACTTATTTTTCCAATATTTAAACCTATTAAAAGATGTATAAAATGGTTAAAAGAAAGATAATTTGGTTAAAATATGTATAAAACATAAATTATCCTCTCATCCAATTTTTTTTTTTTTTTGGGGCCAGAAGACTATCAATGAGTGATATATAACTTCTTGTAAACAAGTGCGTCTAAATATAGATGCTAATAACACATTGAATTATTAAGAGAATATGCTTTGTCCATGCCCATTTGAAACGCATGCAAGTGATGCTTCCTTCCACTATTTACTAACAAAATTATTCCTTTGGTAGTATATGGGATTCTCTGTATCTGACCTTAGTTATTTTGATTCTTTTGTTTACATTGGGATTCTCTGTATCTGACCTTAGTTATTTTGATTCTTTTGTTTACATTCTTCATTATTGGAATATTGTGATGGTGCTTTGTATTGTTGATTATTTGATATCATTCCCATTGAGTCTGGTTCTGCTTTATATATATATATATATATATAGTGAGGAATGAGGATGCTGAATTTGTAGAAATTACATTCTTAGCATATACATAAATACTAAGGAGAAGGAGAGGAATTCTTCTCTTAATATATCATAGCTCATGTCTAATTTTGATTAAACTGAAAGGTAAGTATATATCATGAAAATGGGAAAAAATAGATTATTTTTCATTGATTGATCGATAGAAGTGGACAGAGAACATTGCAAAGTAAGCTTATTTTCAATTGTAGGATTTTTGTTTTATTTTTATTTGGATTCAATAAGATGTGAATTCAACAAGGGTTGTTAGTTATAAGTTTTTTTTTTTATTTTAAACTATCCTATCAATCCAGTTGCAACTCACATTTTAAAAAAAAAAATTTGTAGCCACATATATAACAACGAAATTTTTATTTAACAAACTTAGCCAATGTAAGACACATTCAAGATACATAAAACATATATTTATGTGAATTATAATATATTGGAGAAAATTTTCAACAACTATACAAAGTGAAACAAAGTAGAAAAACACTAAACCAATAATTAAATATCAATTTTGGTCAATAAAAACAAGATGTTAGAAAACAATGTTCTTAATTTTAAGAACAATATTACATTAACCCAGGTTTAATGGAAAGTGGCCATGATCCTTCACCTTCCTTAAGACACTTTAAAACTCCTTTGGCATCCTTTCCTTCTATCACTCCTTGTAGATTTAGTCTTTAATCATATTGTAATCCACTTAAGTGTGATCCTTCCATTGTGGCCTAACTATACTCATGAACACTTTGAGGATTTTGAAGCTAAACCAAGAAACAATGGATTTTGAAACACTATGGTTTGATGTATGAGATGAGAGAAGAAGACTGGTGGAGTTAGATTATAATTTTGATGGTTGGAACATGAATTATGGGAGAGAGAAGGTAAGATGGAGATGAAGAACGTGAACAACAATGGAGAGAGAATGGAGACGGGTGGCTACCAAAATGAGGGTGAATGAAAGAATGAATGCTAAAATTAAAATTAGGGTAGTTTGATTCAAGTCTAGGGTAAAAGGACCTAACTCAAGTGTTGAGTAAATGGGTGAAAAATGAACTAAGGTAACTTTAATCTTTACTGGGGTAAAATGGATGAAAATTTAGATGAAAATGGTTTGAAAATTGAATTAAATAAAACTAAAGGCAATGGGAAATTAAGAGAGAGTGAGTGGAATTAAAATGTGGTATGATGCGTGCAAGATTGTGCACGACTTATACTTTCACCCCAAAACTCAAGTATTTTTCCTCTTGACTTATCTAGTATTTCAATCCAATGGTCCTCGGATGCCAAATCCAAGGTACATCTCTATACAAATAAACATGACGCAATATCAAAGTTCAAAGCATATAGATAATATTTGCATTTTTCTGATTAAAATTAATTCCCAAATATATGAAAAAATACAATTAAACAATAAAAGCAATTATGAAATCACAAAAAGGCTTTAGGGCGTGATCTAGAGCCCAAAAATTGTAAGCCACACATGCATAAAAATAACCTAGCCCAAATGCAAGAAAACAAGTCAACTCGAAACTGACTTTCCAAAATAGTCAATTTGAGAAATTAGTTACTCTCAATCTAAAATGAATTTGAGAAATTTAATTGGACCATTGTTCTTCTGGACTAAAATTTCATCTTGGAAATTTTCTCAAACATTTTCTCTAAAATTTAATTTTATGACCAAAATACTCCTAATGCACAAAATCTTACACTTAGATGATTTTTCACAATCAATGCAATAAGTGTGCAATTTGGATAAATATAACATTTTTTATCAACAATAATAAGAAAAAGTGTGTGATAGATGTAACTTATCAATTCCCCCACATTTACCTTTTGCACTTCGGGCAAAATCAAAACAAAAAAACAAACTCTCTTAAAATCCCAAAATAAGAACAAAGTAAAACAAAACAACTTGTCAAGGGTAATTAAGTTAAAAGTCAAGGAAATTTTTCACAAAATTATAAGAGATGTTGCTACCTTAGTTAGAATACCTCATCATCCACAAGAAAATCATTAAAAAGATGCAATTTCATAAAGAGAGCCTCACAAGGAACTATGCTCTAAAGCACTCAAATGTTTAGGATTCAACAATTTCACTCAAAGTCTTTTAACAAAAATGCCCTACTAAAAGATTGTAATCCTTCTACCTCTACTCTACTAACATGAAAATGTTCTCAAAAATTAAATGGACTTTAATGGGATGTAATATGGCTATGAAATGGATGCTCTTAGATTTGTATGTGTAAGCTAGGGTTTGGCTCAAGGAATTAAGTTTTAGCTACAATGTAAATATGCAACAATATTCAATTTTTTTTAATCTTTCACTAAGTGGATGCAAAGTGAAAAATGGATGGAAATATAAGTAGAATGGATGTAAAAAGCAAAGAACAAAATATATGACTTGAAACTCAAGGATCAATCCTTTTATTTAAACTTTTTATTTTCTTTTACACTCTTCAATTTTCTCTTTTTTTCCCCCTTTTATTCTTCTTCTTTTTTCCCCAACACTTTATAGTCATCTCGGGTATCAAGTAGTAGGAGAATAATGCACTTGGTCTTGAATGAAATGGAATGATGGAAGAATGAAAAATGGAAAAATGAGTTGTATCCATTAAGTTAAACCAAAAAAAGATAAGAATGTTGAAACACACTTTGAAAACAATACATGCAATCCATGGTAAAATAAGGATAGTGTTTATGAAATGAACAAAAGAAACAAAAGGCTCAAAAGGGCTAATAAAAAGGGTGATCAATCCATTAGTGTCAGCCTTTTAAGTCTCTTGGCTATTTTTAATGAATGCCATTATCATATTCCCTACAATAAATGAAATGATGTGGCCTTAATTAAGAAGAAAAACAAGTTTTGAAGGGAACAAATGCTAAAGACAAACAACACAAATGTGTTTAGGCTTCTTCTAACTAGGGTTTTTCGCCTCTCTAATCAATTGTACACAATCTAAAACAAAGATTGTTAATAAGGTAAAACAACTAAGGCAACATTATTTCAAGAGTTTAAATTCTAAAAATTTAAAAGTTTCTTAAATAACCCAAGACAAAACAAAATGAATTTTTTTATTTTTCCAAAAAAAATTTAAAAATAAAAAATTAAATATTTTTGTCTTCCCCCCATACTTAAATCATGCATTGTCCTCAATATATGCATAGACTAATGATAAGGGCAGAACTTTTTAAAAACTTCTAAACAAGCTAAAATGAAATAACAAAATCTATGATTTACTAATGGAGACATCTCCCCCACACTTACACTTTACTCAATCAACAAATCAAAATAATATGCAAAGCAAGGAATAAGGGTGAAGAAGATACAACCTAATTTAAATCTCCCTAAGTTCTTGAAGTTGAAGTTCTCATCTTGAAGTAATATCATAAAACTTTTTATTGTGATCCTCCTTCCAAGAATCTCAAGTGGTGGTGGCTCGGATCAATTGGTAATGGCTCCAAGATGTATGGTATGGATCGTCCCTTCAAGTCATATGAGATGCTACCATTAATATTTTCTTTTTCAAATGAGGAAACACCATGTGCAACATGATCATAAAACATGATATATGAAATGGAATTATATATAAGAGAATGAAAAGGAGATTTGTCAAGATAGGGGAGACAACCAATAAAATCAATGAAATTAAAGAGGATGTTATCAAAAGATTTAAGGAGAAAAATGTCTCCCTTATCTAATGCAAGGTCACATGATATAATCTCCTTGGAAATGGTACAAGCAAGCATATTGCCCTCTACTTGAAGTGGCACAATTTCTTTTGCACTTTCTTCTTGCTTGACACCCTTAGGAACACTTTGATCAAAACTTTCTTCAAAGCCAATTGTAAGTAGCTCATTAACCTTCTCATTCTCTTCAGCCATCATGCTAATGAAAGTCAAATATTATATTTCATCAAGTGTAGAGTCCCTTCCAATAGCTTGGGAATAAAGTGAACATCAAGCTTAAGTGGTAGTCAACCCAAGAATTCAGTCTCAATAGTGGTACCTACATTAACACAAGAAATTTAAACTGCCTCATTTCAAGTTGACATTCTATTATCACTAAGCAATACATTAGAAGATGTATCAAGTTGATTCAAGAATTCTTCAAGATCTACATAATATTTACAACTATGATCTTCTTTACAATAACAAGAAG